TTTTCCAGCCTTCTTAAGCACACAGCACATCAAAGCAGGCTTCCTCTAATTGCAATTACTGCCTCCATAACCTCTGGGATATCTTGATTTATTGCTCAGATAAGCGTCCGGCACGCTTCCCCCATTGCGTAGGCCTCTGCATTCCAAAGGGCACATTCCGATACTTCTGAGCATAGCAGAGTTCGTCAGCGGCTAGAGGAAGCCAAAACACTCCAGTGCATTCTTCAGTGTGCTTAAATGAAGTCCACTCAGGATATTAGCAGCTAAAAGCAGCTTTATTTACAGCAGGCTATCCGTTATCTATCACAGCGAACAGCATCGCGAAAACACGTCCTCTCTCCTCAAAAGCGAAAGTAGAGAGACAGAACAAAGACTTTAGTCTCTCGGAACTGACGTAGCTTTTCCCCCCTCCTTTCCACAGTAGGCAGGGCGTACAGCCTGAGCTGTTTAACCCTGTAAGCTCAGGTTCTCTTCACATAAAGTACTGGGAAGGATTAATCCCAAAAATGAAGGGGGAGGGAGAGTCTCTTACTGTGGAGTATCAAACAGATTCTGTGAAGGGTTTTCCTTGAATAAATCTTCAAAGAAGAAATAATAGAACTGAGAAGCTATCCCACCAATGATGAGGCCACCTGACTGGTACCATTCATGTGGAACAGGAAATGTATCAGTCCCAGGGCACCTCATAGCTGCTTTGCACACAACAGGAGGCAGCAGAAAAAGCAAAGTGAATGACCACAGCATCCTAGTAGACAAGCTTCTCTGAAAACATGGGTGCTCTTGTGCCCATCAGCACCTGCAGAATGACTTAAGCTAGATTGCATGATTCCTGGCTCTGTCAACACAACACAACAAGAGAGATTGGCACACCTTATTTTAAAATCAAAGCAGTAAAAACATGCTTTGGGTGCTAGGTGAGATTTCCAACACTTTGATTTCAAGGCATACAGATAGTATGAAGAAAACCCAAAATGAGAGGAAGAAAATTGGGAGCCATGGCTGCCTCTTGCCACTACTCCTATCTCCTCATATTACAGAGGTTCCCTTTCATATATAATTTTATTTTCCCTTTTCCCTTTCATGGATGTTTATTGATAGTTTACTTAGGCCTCTGGTGTTCTGACAAGGTGGACGAAGTATAGTGATTTGGATAATTGTAAGATGACTTAATAACTTTTTAAAAGTTTTAGTTCCAATGAGGTGTTTTGGTTTGGGTTTTTTGCATCATGTTGAGTTGTTTGTTTATTCTCAGATCTTCCTACCTGCTGCCTCTGCCCCTTGGTGGCACAAAAAGTTGCAATTAGCTTAAAGTCTTCCATGGTAACTGAACACCAGCAGGAAAGTCAAAATGAATCCATTTTGTTTTGTGAGTCAAAGTAGCAAATCTTGAAATAAAGGTGACTGTCCAACTCCAGTTTTGCCACATGACTGGGCAGCTGTTATCTATCTACAGAATAAATTTGTGGCAAAAACAGATGTGTCATCAAGGAGAGGAAAAGTATACTCTTGTGACAAAAGCCATGAAATAAAGAGGCGTGACACAAGTGAAGTCAGGGTGAAACATAGGACTAGGTTTATTTAAACTGAGCAAATTCTCTTCAGTGTGATTTTTCTCGAACTCTTTTGCTGTTAACCATTCTGGCAAGCCACTCACTGCCACCTAGCAGACATTGGATTTAACTTCATCTACTTCCATCAGCTCCACACCTGGGGGGGGGGGGCTTGTGGGCCCACCCTTTTCTTGGGGCCCCACAACTCTAAGAAGGTGTTACATGTTAGTTCCTATTGTGATCTGTACTCAGTGAACAGGTCTTAGAACCCAGAAGAACATAACTGGGTCTCACATTTCTCTTTAAAGGTTTCTAAGGGTGCTCACCAAACAACTAGCTGCTAAAATACTGTCCTTATCAGCCACATAAGAGCCACACGCCATAGAATCATAGAACTGTAAAGTTTGAATGGACCTCAAGGGTCTCTGCAAGGCAGGAATCTGAAGTCAGTATTGCCCAGGCAGGTGCATTATGTGACCCATGAGAGCAACAAAATAAGCAGATTGTACAACAGATATAATCAGTTGAAATCTTTATTGACAGCAGCAGGCATGACATTGGGTCTCTTAATTCCTTATTCTGAGGGCCTTCTCGGTAGTGGCACCTGCCTTGTGGAACGCCCTTCCACCAGATGTCAAAGAGAAAAATAACAACCAAACTTTTAGAAGACATCTGAAGGCAGCCCTGTTTAGGGAAGCTTTTAATGTTTAAGAGGTTATTGTATTTTAGTGTTTGGTTGGAAGCCGCCCAGAGTGGCTGGGGAAACCCAGCCAGATGGATGGGGTATAAAATAATAATAATAATTCCAGACGACCCATTTTGATGGAACGAATCTGCTGGGTTTAGACAGCCCCAAACCTATTCCATGGGAGTCAGCCACTGTTGAACCATGTTGTGGTGCAAGCCAAGCAAGCAGGGTCTCAATGGGTGACTGAGATGCAGATTCCTACCAGGCAGATACCCCAACACCAAGCTTGGGGGGGGGATGTTCAGTCCTCCCCTCATACTATGATGATCCTTCCAATGCCATTTCCACCTCAAGGGATGACCTACTGTGGTACACCTTCTGCCAAACGAGCCGGTTCCCACAGCCAATGCAGAAGGTCCAAAGAAACAAACAAACCAGAATTACTGGCAGTAGGGCACCACCAGAAAGGGGCAGAATGGCTCAAAAACGCACATGATCGCCAAAGACCCATAGTCAATATCCTCTTCTCACTAAGCCACCAAGAAGTAGCAGAATTAGCAGCACCAATTTGAAAAGAGTGAGTCCCATATCTGTTAGGCCAGGCTTCCTCAAACCTGGCAGTAAAACCTTAAAATGTGCCCTTTAAAGTGAGTTCCAAAGTTTCCCACTTCCCCCAGTGTAGGAAAGTGAGGAAAAGTTTGGTAAGTTAGAAACAGTTTACTTAAAAATTCTTCAAAGGTCAAATACAATGCTTAAGAAAATAGGCAGTACAACTTAGTTACAAAGTGGTGAAAGTTCCCCAATTATTGGTATAGAAACTCAAGACTGGCTAGAGACAACCACATACTAACCAGCTCAGACCTTTTCACACATGGAGATTCTCAGGTAGACTGAAGGGGAACAAAATCTTGATTACCTACTTTGTTCCAGGGTGAGCAAAGCCTTGAAGAACAGCTTATTCTATGATATTAATGCATTAATTAGACTTAATCCGTGCACTAATTAGATTTATGTATGTTGGTGATATGAGGCTGGTTAAGAAATCCAGAAAAATAGAACAGGACTTGGAGCAGCAATGAAAATGATGCACCAAGACAGATAGATCATTTTGAACAAATATTAGTAATAATAGATTTTTTTAAAAAAAGAATTTATACCCTTACCTTCCATATATTTAATTTTTTTCCAGAATAAGGTGAAACCAAAACTATTATTTAATTATTTCTTCTTATAAGTTGCTCCCTGTTGTTCAGTTCAGGCCTCAGAACAATGATGTAGCATTTAGGGGCAAAGATGCAACACAGTAAACCACCACCAGAGGCCAAGATGGAGAAGATCTCCACAGCCACCATGCCCTTTCCACTTGTGCTCAGGTAGGCTGGAATAAAGGACAGCCAAACACTACAAAAGAGCAACATGCTGAATGTAATGAACTTGGCTTCATTAAAACTGTCAGGTAACTTGCGGGCCGCAAATGCGGCAATGAAGCTGATAATGGCTAGCAGGCCCATATAACCCAAGACACAATAAAACATGGTGACGGACCCTTCATTACATTGTACAATGATTTCTTCTGTTAAAGAGTGCATGTCCAAATCAGGGAATGGGGGAGATGTCATCAACCACACAGTACAGATAGTTGATTGAATAAGAGAACAGGGAATCACAACTGAGTAGGCCAGTCTTTTCCCTACCCACTTCCTTATGCTGGACCCTGGCTTGGTGGCCATGAAAGCTACAACTACAGTGATAGTTTTGGCCAACACACAAGAAACGGCCATTGAGAAGGTGATGCCAAAAGTTGGTTGCCGGAGGAGGCAGGAGACTGTGCTAGGTTCACCCAGAAATAAAAATGAAGAGAGGAAGCAGAGCAGGAGAGAGACCAGGAGAGAGTAGGTGAGGTCCCGGTTGTTGGCTTTGACTATGGGAGTGTCTCTGTACTTAATGAATGTTCCTAGAACCAAAGCTGTGATGAAGAAGAAAGAAAGGGCAAATGATGCTAAACTGATCCCTAAAGGTTCTTTGTAAGAAAGGAAGGTAATCGTTTTCTCAATGCAGGCAGTTTTGTTCTTGGTCGGATACTGAGCTTTTGGGCATCTGAAGCAATTAGTCATATCTGAAAAATAAGGTCAAATTTCAATACTGATTGAACAAATTTTTGTCTTCTTCACTTACATAAAATTACACCTATTGGATCCATGTGTTTTAGTTTTCAGATATAAATGTTTTGATCTCCTTATTCTGAAAGCTATTATACTGATTCAGTTATTACGTTTCAAGCATATTTTGCCTTCCATATTACTTCTTTGCTCACATGAAATTCAACCTATTTCTTCCATGTGTTTTAAGTGTTCATATATGAATGTTTTTTATTTTGGTTTTTTGGTTTTTAGATTTATATTCTGCTTTATGTTTTTAATAAAAATCTCAAAGTTGTTTACATCATATTAAATCAATAAATCAATATAACAATAGCAGGGTGATGGTCTTCCAGCCTCATGAGGGGCCTCTTTAGAAGGACTGCTGAGTCTGGACCTCGTCCCCTACCCCAGTAGGAAAGGTAGCTGCCTGCACGTTCGAAAGGGCCTTGCAGGGAGCTGCCTGCATGTTCAGTGTATTTTTAGGCTTATTAAAATCATTAGTGTGCAAAGCTGATAATATCTGTGTTGATAGCCTTCTAACTGCATTTCTTTTCCACAAAAGAACACAAGCACCTTCTACATCAGGCCAATGACCCATCTAATCTAGCTTCCTGATTTCACAGTGACCAACCATATGCTTAAGGGAAGCCTGCAAGCAGGACCTGAGTTAAACAGAAGTCTCGCCCGACCTCCACACCTTCCAGCAACTGGTATTTGAAGATTTCGGCCTCTGATGATGGAGGCACAGCAAAGCCACCAGAGGTCATAGCCATGGATAGCCTAATCCTTCATGAGTTTGTTGAATCCTTCTTTAAAGCCTTCAAAATTTGTGCCCATCACTGCCTCTTGAGGTAACAAATTCCATAGCTTAATCATGGACTTTATGAAGAATTTAATTTTCTTTTGCCTGTTCTGAATCATCGCACATTCAATTTCCTCATATGCTCCAAACTATAATGTTATATTTATCCTATTTTTATCTTGTTGCTCCTTACTCCTTTTGCAGTAAAAGAACCCCCTCAAATGCTACCGTCTAGCCTTGTCATTGTCCTTGTAGGATGAAAAATATGAGTGCTGCATAACTTACCATCCTGGTTTGATATTTCTCCTTCTGAACATGGAGCACAGCCATAGCAGCAAAACTTTTCCCCTTCTTTCTTTTTTTTCTGATTCCCAGGGTGGCAGTGGTCATTACACCGAGAAAGGGGAATCACCTATCCATAGCAGAAAAGTCTTTTAGGAGATCAGAAAAAGTGATTGTTTAGTTGTCTTCTATTAATGTGGTTCACCACTCAGGGGAAAAAAGGTTCAATATAAATAGCTGCCTTACACAGCTGCATTGTCTATGGATCCCATTATTTGGAATCCCATTGAAACCTATGGCAAACTTTGCAATCATTTTGCAGCACAAACTCCCCTTTTTGCGGTGTCTGACTTTCCCACCATGGTGCTATACTGCTCCCTTCAAATCCAATATTGTTCAATTCACTTCAAACCTGTGCCAAACTTCTGAATTCATGGATTGGGGTGACTGGTAGGGCCCCAAGTTTGGCAGGTCAGCCACACAGGGCTCTCCAAAAATGTTAAGTTTATTCTGCAAAATAATTGAAAAACCTCTCAGCAGGAATTCCTTTTAGCCCTGCCTAGAGATGCAAGGTATTGAACCTGAGACCTTTTGCAAACAGTATGTGTTCTGTTACTGAGTTATTGTCTCAATGCAAGAGGAAAAGAAGTTACCGAATGGGCTCCTGTGCATTGATTTCATTTATATATTCCAAAGCTTTGCTTTATATATATATGGAAAATATAGCTATACAAAAATATACTGGGTTTTTTCCTTGGCATTTCTAGGTGATGCCAATTTTGAATGTGCTAGGCAGCCACATTTTTCCTTGGCCATAACAGATAGAAAAAAACAGATTTAAACAAAATGCAATTTCTGACACGCAGAGAACACATCATAAGAACAGTGGGGACCAGAAGGATTGCTAGAATTCAGACCTGATTAAATCCTCTGTGCCATACAAGCATATCTTCATGAATGATGAATGCTTCTCCTTCAAGAGCATCAGGATCAACTTGTCCAACTTTCATTTGAAGGAAGGACTTGTTTGGGAATGTGATCATGTTCGTGATGTCAAATCCACCTCTCAGTTCCCTTTTTTCATTAAAGGACATTGTTTCTCCTGCTGAGTTGTTAAATAAAGTGCCTTGCAGAAAATAGTGGAGCTGATTCAAACAGAAACAGTAAAAATAAGAAAAAAATATATATAATGAAGACCAAGTGTCAAGAATCAGATACAGTGCTACTTTGGGTTACAGACACTTCAGGTTACAGACTCCGCTAACCCAGAAATAGTACCTCAGATTAAGAACTTTGCTTTAGGATGAGAACAGAAATCATGTGGCAGCAGTGCAGCAGCAGCGGGAGGTCCCATTAGCTAAAGTGGTACCTCAGGTTAAGAACAGTTTCAGGTTAAGAATGGACCTCTGGAATGAATTAAGTTCTTAACCCGAGGTACCACTGTATTTTCATATAGCATATGGAAAAGTTATAACAAAGCAATAGATGGATCTATACTGTACAGGAAAGGGGGAACTAACAAAATGTTATCTCTTGACGTCTGGCCTTGGAGAAATCGACTCACTGAAATAATATATTGTTTGCAACAGATTACCTGCCAAGGCTGCAGATCTCGAAGTTCAAACATTTTTTCTCCCCCCAGTGCTCTGTGCTTTGATCTGTATGAATAAATAGCATGCAACGAATGAGCCACAACAAAGACAGCATTGTAGATATTGTAGCTGTGGCTAGTCATGTCCATTTCAAACAGGTGCCCAGGAAGACACTCTAACTTCTCCTCCCCTGTACAGGTTTCATTAACTTGCATGATCGGATCTGGAAATGTACAGTCAAATGCTTGCTCCCAGAAGTCCTTGAGAAAACCATCACCTGAATTCCAGTAAGGTTTTATGATCTGAAGAAATTCATTGAACTCGAGAAGGTCTTTTGAGTGAATGGTAAAGGAAATGGCACCTTCAAAAGGCTCAAGATCCAAAAACTTTTGATAACTCAATAGTATAAAATCAATTTGTGTTGTCATGATCCACACCTTTCTAAATGTTGAGCTTTCCTTATTTTCAGGATCTCGTAGAAATATAAGAAATCTTAGCCAGCTCAGTGACAGAGAATCTCCATAGACGATGAATGCATTGGTTTTATCATTTGTGAGACCCACATAATAACTTTTGAATATGTCAAAAACATCATGCATCATTTCGAAATGATATGTTTTCTGCATTCTTTTTGTGAAGGCTGAACAGATCCCATGCTGGTAAAGCAAAGGCTCCAGGGCCTGCAAGAAATTTTCTCCTCCATCATCATCCGTGACAAAGAGTCCAACCCATGTCCATCCAAAATGCTGAAGCAAGTTGATTATCGCCATATACTGATGGGCTTCATTGGGCACCATGCGGTAAAAGGAAAGGAAGTGATCTATATCACTCTCCTTTTGTGGAAATGAGCCATATGCAAGCTAATGGGGGGGACGGGACACACAGAAATTATAAAGATAAATATAAAGAATTACCTTTAGCATGTGGCTGTTTACTCAACAAATGTTTGTTGAAACAATTGCTAGTGTTCCAGACATTTAAGTTGAAAGATGCTTCCAGTTGAAATTTAATTTGAGTTGTGGTGATGCTGAAGTATTGAAAAACTGTGGTTTGCATTTTCAAGGTGCTGTGTGTGTGTGTGTGTGTGTGTGTGTGTGTGTTTGTGGTGGATGTGTTGTTGTGGATGCCAGGGTACATGCATGGTGGGATCTTGAACTACATCCAGGCACAATCACTGGGGTCTCTTCAAAGAAGAGGAGAATGAGTTGTCACAACCTATCAATGGGACAATAGAGTGCAAGACAGAAGACCTGTCTTAAAATGGACTATTTTCATAGCAGGGGAACTACCACTATCTAATTCAGAGCTACATTGGCTGGAGGATACATCTCCCTATAGACATCTGAGTCAAGATGATGAGCAACATACAGAAACTCTCTAGCCCTGCACATGCCCAATAGTGCAAAATAAATTAGGACCTTTAATAAGTTATCCAGGCTCTCTAAGGAGGCAAAGTCTATGCTCAGCTTTCTAAGTCTTCAGGTGGTCCTGGCTCCTTGCAGAGACAACTTCTCTTGCAGTTGATGTGTGCCATAGGGGTTGGTGTTGGAAGTGTCCAAGGTTCTGCCTGCTTGACTCAGACTTTCACTGGTGTAGCTATTTCTACTGGTAAGGAGTAATCTACGTTTCTGATAGACATTTCAGCTTGTAATGCTTCAGCATCCGTCATATTCACCGTCTGAATATTAAGACCACTTTCAGAATGGTAAGAGAAGTGTGTGATTTGCGGAACAAAAATTCATGTCTCTACTCATAAAACCTACCTGTGGAATCTTGTAGAGGCTTAAGGTATCAGCCATCTGGAAGGAGGTGTCAGAGTTTATACCTCCGATTACGGCTATGAGGTTTTTCTGCGAGTCACATTTGTAGTTGGGAGCAATTCTATGCATTTTAAAGAGCAGCTCCAGAGTGTTACGATAGGTCATCCTTGCATCATTATAGCTGTCATAGATGTGGAAGCCTAGTGTGACATTGGGCAAGATATTGGGATTCTCATTTATCACTTTTACAGCAAATGCCAAGGCAAGGATGTGCTGGTAGAATTTTGTTATCATGCTGCAAATGAAGTTAGTTTAAAATTTCAGAGGAGAATTCTACAATGCAGGAAGTAGATGATACAAATTGCCTTGTCTATCTCAAACTGATACATATTGAACTAAACATTGTTATCTGCCCGCGGACTGCCTCGCCAGAATGGTGCATGCTCTGGTTATCTCCCGCTTGGACTACTGCAATGCGCTCTACATGGGGCTACCTTTGAAGGTGACCCGGAAACTACAACTAATCCAGAATGCAGCAGCCAGACTGGTGACTGGGAGCGGCCGCCGAGACCATATAACACTGGTCTTGAAAGACCTACATTGGCTCCCAGTACGTTTCCGAGCACAATTCAAAGTGTTGGTGCTGACCTTTAAAGCCCTAAACGGCCTCGGTCCAGTATACCTGAAGGAGCGTCTCCACCCCCATCGTTCTACCCGGACACTGAGGTCCAGCACCGAGGGCCTTCTGGCGGTTCCCTCACTGCGAGAAGCCAAGTTACAGGGAACCAGGCAGAGGGCCTTCTCGGTAGTGGTGCCCTCCCTGTGGAACACCCTCCCACCAGATGTCAAAGAGAACAACAACTACCAGACTTTTAGAAGACATCTGAAGGCAGCCCTGTTTAGGGAAGCTTTTAATGTTTGATGTATCACAATATTTTAATATTCTTTTGGAAGCCGCCCAGAGTGGCTGGGGAAACCCAGCCAGATGGGCGGGATATAAATAATAAATTATTATTATTATTATTATTATTATTATTATTATTATTATTATCTTTCATGGTGGCTCTAAAATAACAAATATCAAACTCTTCAGCCTAAATAAAATGAATTATCATCATGCCATTTCTATATTACATTGACCATCTTTTAGTTAGTACTTCTTTGATTTTTAATATCCCCCCCCGCGCAAAAAAAAGACTACAACAATGTCTACATCTTTCTCTTTGTACGCAAACTGGCCATGAAGGAGACTATTCTTCTCATATAACCCAGAAATTCAATAATATTTCTTTGCATTAGTTACAGTTACTACCATCCTTATACAAGGCAGTTTATGGTATTCATTTATAGGATTGCACTATGCATTTGCTTTAAAAATAGTTTTCAGTTAAATAAACAAGCTAAACTGAGACAAGCTAGTGATTACTTTAAAACAACATTGTTTTTTTAAAAAGAACTAATCAGATCCAACCTACCACAGTGTGATCCTATACATTTCTAGTCAAATACAAGTGCAAATGTGTTCAATGTGAATAACTTCCAAGTATTTTTGTATAAGATTGGAGACTTGTTTTAGGTGCAATCATTCATTTTTAATATACCAGAAGTCACCTCTTAGATTGCTGTGTAAGACAGGCATAGAAAAATGGGGTGAAATGTTTTCTTTTAATCACAATTTGAAGGTTCTTCAGCTTTCCATCAACACTATCAAATATATTAAATTCTAAACTTCATAGAAGAATAAACTAACTCCTCCAGACTTATCTTCACTTCTCTATCACTATACCATGGTCAGAAATGCATACACAGCATATTCCACAGGGTTCAATGATTTTTGCAGCTTGCATTTGCAGTTCAAGGAAGATAAAAAGAGAAAAGTTTTTGAATACAAGTTTATGTCATTGAAGCATCTTAATTCAAACAAAAAAAAATGGGAATTTTGAGTATTGGAATGAAGGAAACATCTGTATTAGTGCATTCAAATAATTGCAAGTAGCATGCTCCAAGAGCTTTTTTTGATGGTTTATTATTAAACCTCATGCTATCTACAGCAAAGTTCATATCTTCTTTTTATCACCCATGCCTTGGGAAAGGAATTAATCTCCCATCAACTTACTGTTGCTACAATCAGTTTAACAGACTCCCAACACAGACTACATTTTGTTAAAATTTCTAGATTTCTCTATTTCACTTATCAGCCAGTGCCAGGTGTCACTTCACAGATGAATGAAATATATTGAACCAGGTTTATATCTCACAAAGCAATTCTCAAACCATGAGGTCAATATCTCACAAAGGAGACTCAAACAGTGTCTGATTCATGGCATTTTTTCTAGGACGATTAGACACTTTCAGATTATGTCCCACAAGAACATGCACAGCAGTAACCCTTCCATCCCCCTCTTGCTGGTCCTTGTTGGTGGAATTAAAACAAGGCATACAAAGACTCCCTCCCTTTCTCCACACTGCTTTTCAAAATAGAAAGTATTATTATTACAAAGAGCAAAGCCATTATTTATTGCTAGTCAGTTTAGTAGAATATGCAATACTAAAAAAAAAATACTGGAAGAATTAATCCCAAAAATGAAAGGGGAGGGAGAGTCTCTTACTGTGGATCATCATCAAAAAGATTATGTGATGGGTTTTCCTTGAATAAATCTTCAGAGAAGATATAATAGATTTGAGAAGCAATACCACCGATGATGAGACCACCTGACTGGTACCACTCATGTGGAACATAAAATGCATCAGTCTCAGGGCACCTCATAGCTTCTTTGCATACAACAGGAGGCAGCAGAAAAAGCAAAGTGAATGACCACAGCATCCTTGTAGGCAAGCTTCTCTGCAATCTTGGATGCTCTTTGCCTATCAGTACCTGCAAAATGATTTAAGCAAACTAGATTGCATGATTCCTGGCTCTGTCAATAGAGCACAACAAGAGAGATTGGCACACCTTATTTTAAAATCAAAGCAGTAAAAACACATACTTTGGATGCTAGGTGAGATTTCCAACACTCGGATTTCAAGACAGACCAATAATCTGACAAAAATATAAAATGAGAGGAGGAAAACTGGGAGCCATGGCTGCCTCTTGATACTACTCCTATTTCCTCATGGTACAGGGGTTCATTAATATAATCCCTTTCATGGATGTTTATTGACAGTTTAGTTATGCCTCTGGTGTTCTGACAAGGTGGAGAAATTATAGTGATTTGGATAATTGTACAATGACTTAATAACTTTTGAAAAGTTTTAGTTCCAATGAGGTGTTTTGGTTTGGTTTTTTTGCATCATGCTGAGTTCTGTGTTTATTTTCACATCTGTCTACGTGCTGCCTTTGCCCCTTTCTGGCACAAAAAGTGGCAATTAGCTTGAAATATTCCATTTTAAGTGAACACCAGCAGGAAAGTCAAAGTGAATCCATTTAGTTTTGTGACTCAAAGCAGAAAATCTTGAAATAAAAGTAAAACTCCAGTTTTGTCACATGACTGGGCAGTTCTTATCTATCTACAGAATAAATCTGTGGCAAAAACAGATGTGTCATCAAGGAGAGGAAAAGTATACTCTTCTGACAAAAACCATGAAATAAAGAGGCGTGACACAAGTGAAGTAAGGGTGAAACACAGGTCTGTTTTTGGTTAAATTGTGCAAATTTTCTTCAGTGTGTTTTTCCTCAAACTCAGCTGCTGTAAACCATTCTGCCAAGCCACACACTGCCACCTAGAAGCGGTTGGATTTAACTACTTCCATTAACCCAGAACTTGCAAATCAGAAGGTCGGTGGTTCGAATCCCTGCGACGGGGTGAGCTGCTGTTGCTCGGTCCCTGCTCCTGCCAACCTAGCAGTTTGAAAGCATGTCAAAGTGCACGTAGATAAATAGGTACCGCTCCAGCAAGAAGGTAAACGGCATTTCCATGCGCTGCTCTGGTTCACCAGAAGTGGCTTAGCCATGCTGGCCACATGACCTGGAAGCTGTATGCCGGCTCCCTCGGCCAATAAAGCGAGATGAGCGCCGCAACCCCAGAGTCGGCCATGACTGGACCTAATGGTCAGGGGTCCCTTTACCTTTAATGCGAGAAGGAGGCCTCATTGACCCACCCTTCCTTTGTCTCAATGG